TATATAGTTTGTTTTGACATAGGGTCTTTTTTTTTTAGGACAGGGTATACAGATCAGACTCAACTAGACAGATCAGACTCAACTTGTAGTGATCCAGGTCCAATGCTCAGTTGTGAAAACAAAACAAAGCAAAACAAAACAAAACACCAACACAAAATTTAGCCTTTTACAACCCTCAGCATGTGTTACTGTCCACACATATCAACAGTCACTAACATGCATGTCACATGGACCCAATGATTTGGGATTATAGGCATGGACCACCACATCCAGTCTCTTTCAATGTCTCAGCATGCCTCTGGGCCCAGGGCAGGCCTGGGGATTGAACTTGAAGGAAACTGATAGCTTTCTTAAAGATGTTCTGAAGTCCACTTGACTCTTTTTCTTTATGTATTTTTATAGCAAAATGCTATTCAGATCTACCACATAAATATGCATTTACTTTAATTATAAACCCATTTTATGAGCCAGTTTAACACACTCTCAATAAAAGAATTGTAAAGGTGGGCCTGTGTCTGCCTAAGCAGGCACTTTAATCCACTGAGCTATTTGGCCAGCCCTGACACAGGGTATTTATTTATTTATTTGGTACAGGATCTTGCTGTACAGTTCAGACTCATAGTGATCCCCGTCTCAGCCTCCCCAGCGCTAGGATTACAGGTGTGTACCACCACACTCAGTTTCGGTGACCAGCTTGGCTGGTGCTGGCACAGCATGCAGTACCAGGGATCAAACCAGGATCCTGTGCTTGCCAGGCAGGCACTTAAATCGCTGAGCTATCTCCCTGGCCTAAACTATGGTTTTAGTGTTTTGAGACGGAATAGTTCAGGCTGGCCTTGAATTTTCAGTGATCCTCCTGCCTCAGTCTCTTAGTGCTGAGATTACAGGTATGTACTACCACCAGTTTTTTTTTTTTTTTTTTAATTGTTAATTTTCCATTAGCTTTGCCTTTTGCCCCTGAATGGAGAGTACAAGACTGTTTTGGAAATCAGTGACCCACAAACTTGCCATCCTCTTGCCTCAGCCTCCCAAGTGGTGGGATTACAGGTGTGTGTCATTATGTCCAGCTCCATTTAGATATTTTTAAATGGTTTAATTTCTCCATCATTTGCATGATCTATGTGGGAAAAAATAATAATAATTTCTCCATCAGCGAAGCCAACAGGGTATACAGGGTAAACTGAACTTGTTTGAAAGTGATTTTAGGGCTGGTGAGATGGCTCAGTGGTCTAAAGCATCTACTTAGAACAAGCTCAACAAAGCACAGGGACGACGGTTCAATCCCCCAGCACCACATGCCAGCCAGCCCGCCCCCTGGTGGGCTGAGCTGGCCACACAAACACACACACACACACACACACACACACACACACACAAATAAATAAAATTTAAAAAAAAATTAAAAAAAAATAAAAAGAAAGTGATTTTAATGCTGACAATTTATACTGGGTTAATTAATATTTGTGTCAAGTCCAAAAGCTAGGTATAATCAAATTTACTATGTATAAAGTTAAAAAAAAGTATTCAAACAGTGAGAGGCTAACACAGGAGAATCACAAGTTCAAGTCCAGTCTGGACAATTTAGGGATTTAGCGAAATCCTGTGTCAAAAAGAAGAGCGGGCCTGGGAGATCTCTTAGTGCAGAGATCCTAGGTTCAGTCTCCAGTACTCCCAGAACAAGTGAGCCAGTAAGAACTTACAAACGTGTCTACACAAACTAGAGCACAAAATGTAAGAACTATGCGCTGTGTGTTCAACGCTGTCTTCCTTCTGGAGTGGTTGGGGCACACAAATGTAGCAGGATCAATGACAGTTCGCTGACTGGATGGAGCGGCCACCTCAGTGGAAGGCCCCTAACTTAATGATCTAATAGCAAGCAACGCCGCAAGGCGCGTAAGTGTCGGTGTCTCGATTTCCAAGAGACGCTACGATTCTTTGGTTGCCCAGAAATGTGCCAAACCCCCGTAGGGATTTTGGAAACCACTTTCTATACAGAGCCTCTGTTGTAGTTTTTTGGGGTGTGTGTGTGTGTGTGTGTGTGTGTGCATTTGTAACAGGATTTGACCTGCATTATTGAGAATTTTCTTAGAAGAGTTCAAAGCATTTTACAGGGATCATCTCACTTATCCTTCGAAAGTGAGGCAAAGGCATTATCTCCACTAGACTTAGAACACTAAAAGGCCAAGATAGGTGGGATTTTTGTTGTTGTTTTGCTAAGATCAAAAAGTAATTCTAGGGCACAGCCAAAGCCAGACTGTTACATGACGCTTTCTTCCTTAGAAATGTTGTGTTTTAACACTTTTGGAAAGGATTTCTCAAATATATAAGACGAAGATAAATACAAAAGAAAACACCCCAAACCTTCCCCTGGAGTGACAGGCCGTACAAAGAGAAGCAGGAAGAGGCCAAGTCGGCCTGCGGCGTAGCTCAGGGCTACGTGAGCCCAAATTTCCTCCTGGTGACATTGCACTGTACTGCACTTCACCCAATAAAGCTCAAACGGCAATTCTGTAATAAAATCAACCAGGCTGTCGACACTCTTCCGGCGTGCTCTCGGCTCGGGCTCGGCCGGGACGGCGACGCCGGGGGACGCGGGCCGGCCGCGGGGCTCGCCCACGCTCGGGGCGCGAC